TCGAGACATAACTGCGACCCTGTTGATTCCAGCGAGTCGCGCCGCTGTTGTTCCTTCTCCTTCTTGGCTTTCTTCTCGTCTTCTCTCGCCTCACGTCGATCGACAAGGTCTTGCAAGAGCAGGACTTGCTCGGAAACCTCTTCTTCGCTGCCTGTCCCCCTCAGCCTTTGAAACTTGTCTGTTTTCTTGAACGCTTCCACCATGGCGTCGTAATGGTCTCGAGCAGAACGATGTGGAATTTCCACCCCAAGACAAGCCGAAAGGTTCGTGGCGACGGTCTTCCAGCGCAGAGTCAGTGTACCGTATTCGCCATCATAGGGCTCAACGCGAAGCACTTCTCTTAGCAAGGCAAGGTCCATCTCGCTGCTCCAAGCGAGCTGCTTCTGCATCGGCTTTCCCATCGACAATCAAATTGAGCTGTGGAAGGTTGACGTACATCACCCTGCCACAGCTCAATTTGATTGGCTACGGCACTTCACGGACTTCATGGCAGAAAGTCCGCAAACCACCCCACTTTCCAGGCTTGTTTTGACGGAGAGTCTGAATTCTTCGGAGTTCGAATCGAAGTTCAAGTCTGGAAAGTCAGGATTCCGGACTTGCTAAACGTCCCTAATGATGTCGGACATGACCACAAGTGCAATGGAAACTGCCAATAGGCCGCCTCTCAACAAGGAGCCCAGTCCGCACTCTATTAAAACCCGATTTTCCGAATAAAACCCGATTGTTTTTGACCTAGACAACCGGGTCTTATATTAAAACCTGAAAAAAACCGATTTCAAGAAAAATACACGTTCTGTCACCATGCCAATGACAGTAGTAATCTGACTAGTACCCCAAAAGTACTAATAGTACATCGTCGACATTTTTCTTAAAAGGAGGTACGGCAACAGCAAAATTTCCATCTGCGACCGACGCAATCGCTTCGTGATGGTGGACCACGTGCCGTCGGGGCCGATCTTGGTGAGGGCGAGAAAGAGCAAGAATCCGTATCGGATTCATGAAAGCGTCCAGTTGGACATCATCGACTTCATCGAGTCGGGCATTGGATTCTCGGACGAAGAGGTCGCAGCTGCGTACAACGTTCGGCCCAAAGACATTGCGAAACTGCGACAGATCATCCCATGTTCGTGTATCGAGCTGCATCTCGACGTCTCGTCATGTGTCGATTGTAGTGAAGGAGGAGTATGGTGTCACGTCGTTGTCTGGCCGACGCGCCACGCGACACAACAGAGTACCTGTCCCTGACTCGATTAAAGTTGAAATCTTGACCAAGAATGCACTGGCCAAGTTGCCGTCCGCGACTGTCGGGTTAATGTACGGTGTGACGTGCATGGCGATCCACGTCCTGCGCCGAAACCGGGCCAAAATCTTGCGTCGGTACAAGCTCGGGCACAAGGACCTGCGCGACAGTCGCAAAGGGAGCAGGGACGCCATCGTACCGTTCGACGAAGAAGTGCTTCGTTGGATGGATGCAACCCCGGGTTGCAAGGTCCGGCACATCCTCGACTTCGCCAGGTCAATTGCCGCCGAGTACGGCAAACCACCATGGTTCAAGGCGACGTACGGGTGGTGGGAGCGCTTTCGCCGCCGCTACAACATCACCCGGTTCGGTGAGTTGATAGCTGACATGGAAGGGTACGACTATGAAGACGACAGCACTCGATGCGTTCAAAACACAATCCAAATCGACCACGAACCGAGGACAAGAGGTCATTCAGATGAAGCCATATTGAGTAGCGACGACGAATCTGTGGGCGGCGTTTCTGGGGACGACGGCGAGCAGGCGTGTGTGGCAATGGAAGACAAAGTCGCTGCTGAAAAACTCGATTCGGAACCTCCCGTTAGTGACGACGACTCTGTCGCAGCAGTCAGTGACAATGTCAGCGACGACAAAGTCGATGAAACCCCCCTCGCCGTCGGTAAAGCACCCCAGGGCGATGAAAAAGCCGGGTTATATGCATCAGAAGGTGACGATGCATGCGAAATTTACCCTATCAAGAAACCAATGCTTGATCGCGGCATCGACGACGATTGCAGGGACTTCCAAATGGACGATTGTGACAGCGAGCGCGCACGGAGAGCTCATGCTGGCAAGGCAACCATGGGTCAGCCTGAAGATGGTGCCGATGTTGTCTCAAACAACAACTTGTGCAAGGACGACGTGCACGGTGACGATAGAATTGCTCGGGCAGGCTCGTCCGAATCGTTGGCCAACGAAGACAAGAGTCCCCGTGATGGCGGCACTTGCGAAAGTCACAACGAAGCACCGAACGATCTGTGACGCTCATGTAACGTATCGTCTCCGTGTTGGCCACGTTTGTTTTCCAGCAGAACATGGATGGCAGGAACGATTTTGTGAGCGTAGAGCTCCAGTCGGGAGTCCGAGTTCTTCTCAAGTGCACAGGAGCTTGAACGTCGTGGAGGCGCAGGACGTACAATTTATAAAACCATCCTCCCGCCACGTATTGCCCACGAAATTATCCACATTTCCCTCTGGCTGGATCGTTCGAGTATACGACAGTGTATGGAATTTTCTCGAGTTCGACGATGCCAAGGCAATGGACGAAAAAAATCGGTCGAAGCGATGAGGTCACCGTATAGGATTGCAACCGCTTGTGCGCTCTGAAATGGATCCTTCGTGCGAACGTCTGGCATGCATGTGCGTTGGCCAAATGACATGGAGTTCACCGATACACGCGATACTTTCTGGAATCCTTTCCAACAATGAGTAAATATGCCATGGCTCGTGAGAACAGCAAAGCCCCACAACGGTGCATGCATTATTCTGCGGTGCTTGAGCCTTGTTGAAAACGCCCTCCATTGTGTAATACACGCTTCTTGATCGGTCGCGCGAACAAACCCACGGGTGGCTCGCGCATCCAATGGAAAAACGCATGCACATGCGAAAACCACTTTCTCTCGTGACCATGATGATCATGGCTAAAACGATCGGTGTACACCACCCACCTCATCTCAGCATGAGGTCAAGTGCTTCACACATGATAGCGAGACCTGTCATGCGTCCACTTTCAGCTTGAAATTGCATCGCGTACGGTTGTGCTGGCGCCTTGGGGCGTCCTCCCACGAAAGGATCCAAAGTTTTTCCATTTGAAGATCGACCTGATGATAACGCAAATTCTTCAGCTCGGTAAAAAATCCAACCCATAACGAGACATTTGTCAGGAAGTGATTCAATTGGCCAATCGTCGCGCTGTATTTCGTGTCAACACGTTTTGATTGGACAAGCGAATTTACTTTTTATTGTCGTCGCGGCTAAAGTCAAACGAAAATTGGCTAAACCGCTTGCTCCAGGTCTTTTTTCCCGAGGTGGCCACGTCGTATACGGCGGACGGCGGCCCATCCCGTGTAAACTCAGGGTCGACGTACTTGGTGTCTGTTTCACTCGACTGTGCAGTGGCCATGAACCCTCTGTCGCATCATATCATATTCGTACCAAATCGGGCTTCCAGTACGCTGGCACTTGGCGATTGTACAACTTGGTCCAGTTGATCGAGGCAAAGAACGGGTGGGACTGGATCGCGTCGCCCGATAGACGAGCTTTGGGGTCGCGGTTGAGCAGCCCTATTGCAAAATGCGTCAGGTAAACACATAATTAATCAACGCGCGAGGCACCCCGAACGAGCGACTTGGCATCGGCCGGAAAATCGGATGGAAAGCGCACGTCGGCATGAACAATGCGTTGGAGCATGGTACGTTCGTTGGTGTGGTAAAATGGACTCACTCCCACAATCATTTCGTACTACAGATGCGATGAAACAAACTTTAGCGGGAAATATGACGACTTGGTACCAGAACAATGCCAAAGCTCCACCAGTCATACGCTTTGCCATAGTCCCTGGTCCCGTCGGCGGTCTGGACAAGCGCTTCCGGCGCAACGTACTCAGCCGTGCCAGAGAGTGTCTTGACGCCGTGAGAGCTGCCCTGGATGTGCTGCTTGGATAAACCAAAGTCCACAATTCCAATGTGGCCCTCTTCGTCGATCATAATGTTGGACGGCTACACCGTTGAAAGTCGATGCCATGTATCACACGTCAAAATCCAGTCAATCTAAATTGGGCCACGCACCTTCAAATCGCGGTACAAAATGTTGAGCGAGTGCAAGTACGAAATTGCCAACACGAGCTCGGCAGCGTACAGTCGGGCATCGGCTAACGGCAGTCCTCCCCCTTTGATTGAACAAAATAAATCTCGTCAGCCAATCCAAACGACAAGAAGCTATCATTCCAAACATTTTGGCCAATCCAAAAATTAGCATGCGCAGGATTGAACCACCAGCACAACCTTTTTGGTTGAGGTGGTAAAACAGATCGCCGGCCGCGTAAAACTTCATGCCTATGCGAAAAAGCTGAGCCAACGCATCACGCCAGGCTGATGATCGTACCGAGGTAGAGGCGCTCGCTGGTCTGGAACGCAAACACGAGCGACGACACGTACGGGTGCTTGAGGCGCTGGAGAATCTGTCGCTCTTCCATGGCGTTTTGCATGTCGGTCGAATCCATCGCGCTCTTCTTGAGAATTTTGATCGCAAAGATGCGACCATCTTGCTTGTACCGGACCATCATGACGGCGCCAAAACTGCCGCGACCAAGTACGTTGAGCATTTCAAAGTCTTCGATCGTGAGTGGTTTTTGCAGCATGGACGACGCTACCGTCACGAAAAAAATTGTCAACCATGAACGAAATCGTCGATGGACGCACGAGGTTGCACGGAAGGCTTGGGCGGCGACGGAGCAGCCACCATCGACGGTGAAGCCGGCAGAGGTACTGGAATACTCTGCGCCATCGTGGGAAGAATCGTCGTGAGCTCTACCGTCAGCACAATGGTGGAAGCACCTGTCGCGGCATGGGCAAGAGCAAGTGACTATCGGGTCGAGTTCGTTTGCGCTCTGTGTGGTTCATAAAGTAGTGTTCAAGTGCGATTTGCACATTTCCACCTACACAGGCACAACCATGAAAGTCAAGACGCCACAGCGAGTCATGGACCTGCGCCATCCAGGTACTCGATGAGCTTTGCTTGCGACACTGTCGAGGACCCGCCAAGGACCATCCGCATTTGTTGGAGCTTTTCCATTGCAATCGGGCTCACAGCCGTGACTTCTTCGTCTTCGTGGACGCGGCTCAGGCGATTGTTGGACTGGTGTCTCTTCATAGGTTTCTCGACGCGAATGTTGAGCGGTGCCACGGATCGAGCTTTTGCGATGGACAGTGCCGCTTTCGACGTCAACGCAGCGCGAAAATACAGTCGCCAATCGCCCCTACAGTCATGAAATTGAGCTCGGCTATTGCGTTAGTCTGTCGCGATGGCGTACTCGGTGGACCGCGCCAGTCCTAGAAAGCAACGATGCACGTGGTTGAGGTTGTTTGACGCTGAGTTTGGCGCATCCGACGACTTCATCAAGCTGTTCCACGGCAGGTTTAGCGTCAGTCCAATGCTCTGAGTGTGACGAATGGCGATTTCACGGTCTTTCCACCGGTACGACGTCAGGAAGAACGGCTCTCCGACCGTCATGACGGTTCCAAGGGCCAACCCGCGCACGACGAACTTGTTTCTGTCGTCAGTGTCGTTCACCTTGTCAAATCACCATGGCATCATCAAAGCAAGAATGTCTTTTCAGTGGGCAAGTCACGTTGTACGTACAGGTTTCCACTGCAAAGCGTTGTTCTTCCGCGCGCACAGCCACAACCCATTGCACTCCAGCGACACGATGTCGCCGTTCCGAAGCAGCATGTCCGCGCCTACATGCTTTACATGTCATACACACAAGGTCACGTTTCAAAGGTAACTACCCGCTTTGCCGCGTTTTCGAAAACGCAGCACCTTGAACCGCTCGTTTGCCGCGCTTATGACGTCGACGGCGCCGGTCGTGAGTGACGCGGTCAAATTCAAGTTGCTAAGCATCCCGGGTTCGTCGAACGGGTGCACCGTCACCGGCATCGAGCTTCGAATGCTCTTCGTGAGATCGATGGGGATATCAGTCGTGGGTTGCTGGCTAAAGTACAAGTTTACGGCCGTCGACACGTCGTTCGAAGCAGCATGTAGACACGACAACAGGACACTCGTCGGCACGTCTTCTCCCAAGATCGTGCGGATCAATTCAAGCTCCATGTTTGAAGACAAGGCACCACCAGTCAAGCCACTACCAGCAGCATGAAGTAGTCCTTGCTGGGGCCGAAGGGGCGGTCGCCGAGACGCCATCACGGTCGTCATTTTGGCAAAGACGTGTGTTGGATGATGCGTATGGGAAAATCGACCAATCAGGGCGCAGGAGGTTGAAAAGAATACTACTCTAGGACTAACTAAAATCCTTTAAAAAGATCGGAAAAACGTAGTAAATGTACATGTCAAAATTCCGATAAATATTTTAGCGCTTCTTGATTGGTTGAGAAAATTTACATTATGTTGTAAAGTTGAAGGAAAATGCGATGGGGGCTTGAGCTCGTCCTTATTTCTTCGTCTAGCGATCGATGGACTATCGACTCACCAACTTGGAAGGCGAAAACCCTCATCATGACAATAGTTCCTTGGACCTTTAGTGACGTTGGGATCAGGGATTGTCGAGCTGGCCAAGCGACAGGTGGGGCAACAAATCTTGCACATTTTCAAGTCGTGTTTTAGTGTTCATCGTGACAAGAAAATGACTTTTTGCTGGATCATATACTACTTAGAGGGATCGTCACCACCGTGACAGGGATGAAAGGTATAACGTGTAGCAGCAGCTCACAGTCAAATCAAAATGCTCTCCGTGCCAGTCCTCTAGCACAAGTTCCCAACGCAAGCACTCTCTGGGTTTCAACCGGGATGAAAACCTACTCTTGTCCAAGCACCTGAATGAACAGGCATCCGACAGACGACTTCATGCGTCGACGAGATTCACGCGCGCGCCGCATGGGTGGGTTAAACAATTCATCTTGTCCAACAAACGAGGCCGACGCTTTTTATAGTAGGCGAGGCGTTGGGGGACAAGGACGCTGCATCGTCGGAAGAATCTGCGTTGCGTGGACACTCCTTACAGAAATTGCAAAAGCGGCGTTGGATAGCAACCACATGCACGGACGATTGCCATGAGCGCGTGGCGTTGGGTGATGTCGGTCCGATGCGGCTTTCATAAGTGCAAAGCCGTGGTGCTTTCCCCACGGCAACCACGCTTTCCATCGCACCCGTCAGCACGATCTCACACGGCAACCACTGAACGTCGGGAGGCTGTTGTCGATATTTCACCTCGACGTCGTTGGCTGTAGTCGAAAACGGCGGGGAAATTCACCAACCAATGCGCCGGGCTGTTTCGAAATGAATACATATCACGTTGTCTTTGTTTGAGTATGAAATAAAATCCGTTGAATTCAAACATTCGTATCCATGGATACGTTTGGCGAATGGGCGACCGCAGCGACTTCAACAAAACCCGCCCTGGCTGGGGCACACGTCCCACTCCATATCCGAAATGCACTTGAAGCTCGGACACGACATTCTCTGTCAATGAAGGTGGAGGCGCGCCGTTTTCGTCGGTACAAACACACCTCGGCCATGCGCAGCATTTCGTGTAGAAGACTTGGCGGAATCGACAAGCGTGCCGCCCTCCCATGCGCATGGATCGCACTGCCGTAGTTGCAGCACGTCGGGTGTGGGCCTTGCCGCTATTTTCCACGAGCATATTATCCTTGAAACGAGTCGACCTGATGAAGACTCCATGGGACATTTCATTACCGTTCGGAAGCGATGGAGGCGCAAAGGCGGCGGCTGCGCAATTATGTCATGTTCAACATTCATCGTCGTCCAGCCAATCGTCGTTTTATGTGCCGGAGCCACGCGAGAGGAATCCCAGTTCCATCCTCACGGAGGACCCACCAGCAACCACGCACTCAGCGTCGAGTCCAAGGCGACGCAACTTGGTTCCATTGCATCCCGTTCCATTGAAGTGTTTGTCCTGTGCGGACAAGCTCTGCGCCACACTTTGTGAGCCGTGGCCATCACCATCCCCCCCCCCGCCGCTGCGGCACAGTTGCTTTGTCCGAAAGTGCACTTCGCAGCAGTAGCTGGAATCGCCATTTCCCAGCCTCCGCCACTTCCCCGCCCCGCCTTCGGCGGATTTGTCCACGGATACGGACGATGGGACGACATACAACGATCACGTTTATTTCAGGGTCGACGTGGTATTTTAAAAAGTCGTCGTTTTTTTAATTGTCGTCTGGGAGATGCCCCTCACAACGTCACAATTGAATTGTCTCTGACATGGCGACCCAAGCGAAGTTGATTGCCCAGAAGACCGTGCGCGGCATGCCCGTCGACGGGGAGTCGTTGCCGCTGAAAGGCGGCGAAGACGGTGCCCACCACCGTCCGAATGATTTCCGAGCGCTCTGGGACATCATCACGGGGTCCCCCGTGAGCTGGCTCCTCGTCGCGATCCCGTTCGCCGTCTGGTCGTACTATGCTGAATGGGGCGCTGTCTGGGTGTTTTCCCTCAACTTTTTGGCCATGATGCCCCTCGCCAACATCCTCGGGGAAGCCACGGAGAACCTGGCCGAGCACACTGGCGATACGATTGGCGGTCTCGTGAACGCGTCGTTTGGGAACGCTGTCGAAATCATCATTGCGATCTTTGCGTTGAAGGCGGGCGAAATCGAGCTGGTCCAGTCGTCGTTGATCGGTTCCATGTTGTCCAACTTGCTCCTCGTCCTCGGCATGTGCTTTATCTCGGGTCACCTCGGCGGTGCCCAGGAATCGACGTTCTCTGGTGTCGGCGCCTCGATCAACATGTCGCTTCTGTTCGTTGCATCGTTCGCCATGTTGGTCCCGTCGTACTACTCGCAATCCGTGTCCCACGCCGACGAAGTCGACCACAGCATTGCTGTCTTGGGCTTGTCCCGCATGTCGGCCATCTTCCTCGTGTTGATGTATGTGCAATTGATGTTTTTCCAACTGGTCACGCACAAACCGGCCGATGCCGCGGTGGAAGGCCATGGCCCTGCGTTGTCCTTGGTTGGCGCGACGATCGTCCTCCTCTTGTCCACGATCGCCGTCGCATTCTTGTCGGAATACTTGGTCAGTTCCGTCGACGACTTGACCAAGTCGTCGGGCATTCCCAAAGCATTCATCGGTATCATCGTGCTCCCGATTGTCGGCAATGCTGTCGAGCACATCACGGCCCTCAAGGTCGCGTACAAGAACAACATGGAACTCGCAATGGGAGTCGCCGTCGGGTCGGCGACCCAAATCTCGCTCTTTGTCGTTCCTGTCTGCGTCATTGCCGGCTGGATCATGGGCCAACCCATGACGCTGGCGTTCAATACGTTTGAAGCCCTCACGTACGTCTTTACGACGCTGATCGTGTACGTCATCGTGGCGGACGGCAAATCCAACTGGTTGGAAGGGTCGATGCTCCTGACCTTGTACATCCTCGTCGGGTTGTCGCTGTTGGAGATCACGATTTAAGCGTCTCAATGTGTGCATTGTTGAAAAACCTTTGGTGCGCCAACCTAGTTTCCACACGCATGGTCCCGCCCAGGCATGATGCAGGGCTGTTGGCGGCGGGTGGGATAGGGTCCCGACGGCGCGGCCTCTTGCTGCACTCGGCCAACGTAAATCGGTTGCGACGACGTATGCAGTCGCACAGTGTGATGCCAACAACGAACGTGTGCACACTGATCGGTGTCTCATGCGAATGGACGGTGCCACAAGAACAGTAGGAAGTTGCGTGGCATCATCCCACAGGGGCTGCGCCAGTTCCCTCATGCATTCGATCCAAAGGGAGCAGGACGCACCAGCACCCCTTCGTGATGCACCAGAGCACGGACATCTCGAAATCGTTCTCCCATCGTCGCAGCGTGCTGCGGAGGTGGGAGTTACGAGGTGCGCCCAACAACATGGAGAATCGGCAATGTGAACAACGAGGAAACGATGTGCAAAGCCACATGAGCCAACTTAATTCGTGGCGTTGAGCTGCCACCCGTCGAATTTGTTGTACCGCTCTAGGATGTCGTGCGGGCCTTTGGCGTCACGCGGCTCTACAAAGCGCTTCCCCTCACGATGGCTCGTGAAATTGTGTGGTGTGCCAGTTTTCTCGCACTTGGTCCCGTCTTTGGGCAGAAATTGCACGTACATTTTCCAACAACGTTTGGGTCGTTGCAGGATGCGTCCTTGTCCCAGCGCACTGCCGCATCGTTGGCAGGTAGCCAATGTTGATCGCTGATGGCTAGAGAGGGGTGAGGGGAACCGATTGAATCCAGAAGTGAGTGCATTTGAATTAATCAGCTACATCCTACGTAACGACACTGCGGTCGGTTGAGATCTAGAATGCGGTTGGAGGAGATCGTGCAGGTGCAACCGCCTGTGTCGCCGTACTCCAACAGCCAAAGCATCGTCATGGAGTGGGGTTGTGGATTGAGATGTGCGTTGCAGGCAGCGTGGCGGCTGGTCTTGTTGCAGTGTTTGCCACCCAACCTGTGGACACGGTGAAGACGATTCTCCAAGGCAAGGCGCTGGAATCCACCCCGTCGTACGCGCTCACGGAGGTCAAATCTCTCTGGAGCCAAGGCGGCCTGCCCCATTTATACAAAGGCACAGTGCCGCGAGGTTTGCGCCTCATTGGAGCCGTGTTTATCTTGAGCGAAACGAAGAAGGTGCTAGAAGATCAAATGCACCGCTTTCGAGAATCGAATGTGGCGCTGCTTTAAGACGCTGAAAGACAACAGCGCCCTCGGTTAAAAAAAACGTGGCTCGATTGTTCCTGTGCAAATAGTTCATTACTAGCATGGAGCATTTCAAAATGCTGCGAAATATTATCGATTCAGTTTTCTTCAAAGCGTGCCACAAGGGGGCCAGGACCACAAAGAGGCAATGTACGTGTGTGGTTGACAATGCCAACCACGACATCAGCTCACGACAATAAACCGCAAAGATGCGTTGCGTAAACTGTCATAGCCTGGTTGGTTGGAATGCAATCACTACTAACGTTACTTGGAGTCACAAGAAGCCACCTCTAACGAATACAACTTGACAAGGAAGTTGACCAGTTGGATGACGACATTAGAGAAAAACAATCGACAGCTGTGAGATTTGAACTCACGCGGGTGACCCCAATAGATTTCTAGTCTATCGCCTTAACCGCTCGGCCAAGCTGTCGTTGTGAAATCCTCGTGGTTGCACCTGGACCACCTGACCCCGCTCAACCGCGACATTTGGAAGCACTGGAGTTCCGTGCCACTCGCCCGCCGACTCAACCCAGCGCTAGCCCTTCCCGACGCATTGGACATGCCGATTTGGTTGCAAACTAACCCGCCGTTCATGCTCCGCAATCACGCCTCGGGTGCTCGCTGCATCGCTC